TTGTAAACCAAACCATATCCAACTCTCAACTTTTTTCCCTGATTCTGTGTGAATGGCACATCTGAATGTGGAATAGGTATCGCGGCTGAACCAGGAACGTCATGGTGCATTTTCTGGTTTTCCGTTGCCAGCACGTGGCAGTCACGCGCCGGCAGACGCGCCGGCGGCCAGGCGCGTGTCCCTCGGCGCAGCATGTCCGGCGTCGGAATTCCCAACCCAGCCCACTGGTCAGGCGCGTGGGCTGGAAAAGTGGCCGGATCCGGCAGATCTAGGGCGGCGGCGCTAGGGTTTCCACCTAGGGCCGCCGCCTGAAATTGTGGCTGAATTAGTGGCATGAGGCCAGTAATCTGGGTTGTACTGTGCGACGGGAAGAAGTCATCGCCGGCAAAAAATGGTGGCTGGGTGGTGGTTCGGTATTTAGGGTAGGGTTTCATCACTGTCGTTTTTTCATCGCCGGCAAGAAATGGTTATTCGGGTTTTTATTCGTGAAATTGAGAGAGGACATCTGGGAAGCTGTGAGAGAAATGTATTCCGACGCTGAAAATTTTTCCCAGATCTTCGAAATTAAATCCAGGTTGTGGCAAACCGAGCAGGGAGAACGCGAGGTAATTGATTATTACCTTGAGATGACGGCGTTATGGCAAGAGCTCAACTCGAGTTCCGAGGAAAAATGGAAGTGCCCAGAGGACAGCATCTACTACCGGAAAAAATTGGAGAACGAAAGGGTTTTCGAATTGTTGGCTGGGCTCAACCGTGTCTTGGACGACGTTCGTGGAAGGATACTCAGCCAAAAACCTCTACTGTCGCCACAAGAGGTGTTCGCAAAAGTCAGGAAAGAGGAAAATCGAAGGAAAGTGATAATTGGAGGTATGGCTGCTGGGTTTGGACCTGGATTCGAAACTTCAGGCCCAAGTGTGATGGGAACTGGGCCTCTAATTAATGGGCCATCTAATTTTAAAGGCAACCCAACTTATTTCCACAAGGAGGCTACAATTAATGATGGGCCCATTTATTCTAATGTTGGGCATAGAAGAGTGAGCCTATATTAAAAAGGGTCGGCTAGTGGGTCAAATTCAAAACAACAAAAGGTGACCTTAGTGTGAACATTGCCGGAAAACAGGACATAAGGAGGACACATATTAGGATCTACACGGAAAGCCAGCAGATTGGAAACCGAGGCAAAGTAACAGAAATCGAGGATACCAAGCATCTATTGATTATCCAACAGGAAACCCAAAGAATCCAGTGGAGCCTTTAACTCGGAGCAAATTGAGCAACTCTACAAAATATTTTCTAACCTTCAACCATCAAGTCAGGCTACTAAATATAATCCTTCAAGTTCTCTAGCTCACAGAGGTAATTTTTTGGGAGTATTAAAATCCACTACTCAATCTAAAATGCCCTGGATCATTGACTCGGGAGCCTATGATCACATGACGGACTCCTACCGCCTATTCTCTTCATACACATGTGCTGGTAATCTTAAAGTTAAAATTGCCGATAGGTATCTGTCAACTGTTGCAGGAAAAAGGAGTATTCAAATTTCTGATTCTATAACTTTAAAATCCGTCCTTCATGTTCCAAATCTATCATGCAATTTACTATCTATCAGCAAAACTGTGGTGTGATAATCAAGTTGCTCTTCATATTGCATCCAATCATGTGTTTCATGAGCAAACTAAACATATTGAAATTGATTGTCATCTTGTTTGCCAGAAAATTCAACAAGGTTTGATTTCTACAAGGCATGTGAAGACTGGAGAACAATTAGGGGATCTCTTCACGAAAGCGTTAAATGGGGTTCGGGTTGATTACCTTTGTAATAAGTTGGGCATAATTAATATCTATACTCCAACTTGAGAGGGAGTGTTATAGATTGTAGTAAGTTGTTTATAGCTAGCTAATTAGCTTAATTCTAGATTCCTTTTTTACATACTTTCCTAAGATAGTTTCCTAAGTTTTGTATATATATATGTATCGTCTTTTCCAACAGTGTATGAGAAAAAGAATATTTTCCAATCTTTCCTTAATTCACACTTAGGAAGCTATAACAAAAATCTTAAACAATTTAACGAGCAATTGTACAAAGAGAAGAATTACCATGAGATATAACCATCAATCACGAGCATTAAGACCTCTCTAATAGTTGAATTTTGAGTTTCACTAGTAGTTGTATCAAACTCAAGTTGGCCACCGCAAACTAAAGGAGAAGATAGATCACTGATTCTTGATTAATCTTGGAATGAAATCAACCATATGCTAAATGTCCCAACTTCTAGATGCCATCAAGAGATAACTAAGGCTTCAAGACGAGGGCAAGACCTTTCTTAGGGTAAACTTAGATTGCCCACAAAAGATGGGGAAGGTTCAACGACCAACAAGAAGCAAGAAAAGTAGTTCCTATTTCAAAATTATAAGGTAATTTAAACCCTTGAGGGGAGAATTTCAGATATTTTAGTAGCATGTGGTTACATTGCATGAAATACACATGCATATGTATATGAACACTCTGGGTTGTGTTGAACTCAATTGTGATGGTTAGCAAAGTGAACGCAACCAAAATCACAGGGGGAAAAAACACTGAATATATGGGCAACAAAAGACAATTACTGATTACTAAAAATAATAAAATAAATAAATAAACATACCTCTAGCTGCATATATTGTTGCTAATTCTTGGAATTGAATATCATAGCATATACCTATGCCAATACGCCCAACATCTGTGTACAAGAGTCTCAGTCATTAAGAAATTGGATGAAGACATAAAAATGATTTCACATCAAAAACCTAAATGATTGAAAAACATGTTTTCAAACTTCATTTGACCTCAGGTACATAAAGTAAAAGACTACAATGAGCTGCAAAGGAAATAGAAGTTAAGAATATAATTTTTAGTTGATTTCTACATTCTACAGTTTCTTTTCCATAATGACACTTGCCACAAAATGTGGAAAATAAAATTATAAGCAGCAACAAAGCAACATCTTTATGAATGTTAAGATAATACTCCCTCAATCTCAAATTGGATGTCCAAGTTTGATGAGGCACAGATTAAGAAAGAGTCGAAATTATGTATAATTTCCTCATTTTCCCAGTATTCCATTGTACAAGTTACAGTGATGTCTGGGGCTTGTGTCAGCACTGGCATGGAATTTTCAAATAATATTTTGTTTAATGAGTGTAGTTTGATAGAAAACAATCTGGAAATAATTTCATTGAAGGAAAGAGGACACAATATCAAGATACTCTAAAAAGAAAAGAACATCTAAAATGAAAACGGTATTACAAATTTCTGAAAGTTCAATTCGAAGTCCACCTCTGTAAGAGGTTCAAAACCTTTAGAGAGATATCCAACATACATCCCTCAAGTAAAGAAGATCTGGCAAATCCTTAAGGGCAATATGGTTTAGTTATTCAACATAAATCTCTCTCAAATATTTAGTAAAATATTATATAAATGAGCAATATCTGTCTTTGACATCTTGTACAAAGATCTTTAGTCTATATTTGATTTATCATGGTATACAAAGAGAAATCCTGTAAAACCTGTATCCACAATGGTAGGGGTCTCCCCTGCTGTAAGAGTTTTTGATTCTTTAAACGTCATTTGGCCCGGTATATCAATGTCAAAGAGATGAATCTGGAAAATGGAATAAGTCATTAAACCACCAGTGATCATAGATGTTATCCAAGTAGTCAATTGAGAAATTCTGAACAGATAGTATTTTGTGTCACGCTAGCTGCTGTTATACCGAAGACAGTGTAAGATACGGAAAAGAACAACCTTCCTGTGCTTAGCCTTAAGTTTTCCATCTGTACCAAAGACGCAGCAGGTGTTATACAACCTATCACCACTACGTTCTGGTATGGATCCACCAATTATTGTGATCTTTAGTCTCCGGGAAAGTTCAGACAGCATTGCAGTTGAAGGAGATTTATCAGCATCAATTTGCTCCGCATATACTGGGAAACTATCATTTGAATATGGGCTATTCCATATTTCCTAGCATAAAAGGAGGTTATCATGTCAATTTGGTATATGACATAATGATTCACGAGAGATACTCGAACCATAAAATATCATATGTGATAATTTGTGGATGAGAGTTCGTGATGCTGATGAGAGAAGCTAGAGTACCCAAAAATTAGTTAAATGAATATCATCTCTTGAACACAATGCACAAACAATGATAATAGAATCGCAGATTCAGAAACAATATAAAAAAGTACAGAAGAAAAAATTAGTAAGATTCTACTCGCATACAGGTAGAAGAATAAGCTGAGCACCCTTTCTTGCAGCCTCCTCAATTGCTTCCCCAGCATGAGCAATGTTTCTGTCCTTGTCCGAAGTCACAGACAACTGGCAAAGTGCAATCTTGAACTGAAACATATGGAAGGAACCATTAAAATGTAATGTCGTGGCTGCCCTAAAACAAATGCATATTTTGACTTCTAAATTCAAAATAGGTTGCATGCCCAAAAGTTCACCAGACCATAACCCTTGATGCAAATTGAATTTACAAACAGAAATAGGAGATAAAATTATTATGGCATGCACCATTGGAACTAATACCTTCAATGGGAAGCTACAAGACAATTTTTGGATTGTATTTCGGCTGTAAAATCGAATATAAAATAATCTGGCTCAAGTTATTATTTAGGGCAATACTTCATGATTTATTACCTGTTATCATAATAACTTAATGATGTTGTTCAAATTCATATACAACTCTTTGATCGATTGACAATTAAGTGCTTGTTCGGTTAAGCTTTTAAGGCTTATATATAGTGGGTCTCCGTTGTTTGGTACAGATAGGACAAAATAAATAGAGTTATTCCACGTATGCTTTAAAAAGGCAACTTGATTGGCATTTTTTCCAGTTTTCCTTTTAACTGTACATGGCTCAATCTTCCTTTTATTTTAGTTTAGATAAGAGCCAATAGAAATATTTCCTTAATAGGTAAACCATCGCCATGCTACCTCTGAATTCTTAGTTCCTCTCTTTTAGTTTCAGTATTTCATTGACATGGTACCTAATCCCACAATTTCACCCTGATTTATTCATGTAAATTCTTCATTTTGGTAGCTATGCTTTCACCCTTCAACTGTCTTTTCCAATTAGCAACAAAGTCAATGAGATTTGTAGGTTGTCTTGTATAAACAATTTTAAGAGGACTTATGCCTGAAGTTCAAATCTTTGAATGGCCAGGTGCAAATTGTTCTTGTGCAGTAACAACTTTTCATTGCTTATGATTGTCTCCCGCCATGCAACTTAGAAAATTTTCAAAGCTTCTGTTCATAACTTTGAGCTTGCTCAATTATTTGGGAATGATAAGAAACACTTTACTGTTTGGGGCATCCATTTACCATTTTGATACAAATAAAATAGTCCATCTTTAACTTATTCCTTGCTGGCTTTTGAGTAGCCCCACAACAAAGTCCATGCTTACATCCTCCCGGGGAGTTGGTGGTGATGACAGGGATGAGTGGAAATGCACTTGAGTTTTAGATTCTTGGCATATTCAACATCTTTTGACGAAGTTATAAACATTTTGTTCCATCAATGTGCAAGTCGCGAACCTGAGAGATGGTTCCTCCCGTCACATCCAAATACAACCAGCCACCATCCAATCCAACTGGCCATGTCACCGTTGCCGGTCACCACCGCAGACGACCTAACCTTTCGGCCTCACGCCACAAATTTTTAGACTATGTCCCGAAAACCTAGCAGATGCCGGAAACCCTAGTGTTGCTACCCGAGGACGAACAATCGGAGGTTCAATTGACAGCGTACATGACGGCGATCTAGTAGAGGCCCATGGCAATTCCATCCATGGTGGTAACCGATTAATTTCAGATCTAGGGAAGAAGATGAAGAGATTGATGCACGTGAGCCAAGTGCCGATCCCGCAAGTTCCGGCCATCTTCCAGCCACACGCACCTGTCCGGGGGGCGCCAAGCTGTTCCGACTTCGAAAGGGGCGGTGCATGGAGTACACGCCGATTTGCCGGTGAGTCGGAATTTGCCAAATTCCACCACGCTGGGACGAGGCCGTTTCGATCATTGGTTTCATTATCAAATGGCTCATTTGCGCAAAATCATGGGAGACATATTCAAACAGTTAAAGGTTTTTAGTTCACGATTTAGAGTTGAGGCAAAGGAGTTTGTAGTCTCTATACGGAATCAGGCTTTGTTCAGCTGTTAGAATGGGGATCGAAGATATTGGGCACAATTTGCATGGGCCGATTTGATGCCGTGTGGATGATGAATATGAGGGATAAGTTGAGGATGGCTAATAAGAAGGGGGATTTCGTCGCCAAATTTAATGAGTCTTCTCAAGCTTTCTTGGCACAACGTTGTGCTAACAGTCGTAGTAGGTTTTTTATGATAGCACAGTATGGGGAGAGGCGTCGAAAGAAAGTTGTGATGGTGCCGGAAGGAGCGAATAGAGATGGATGGGTGTCGGTTTTACGGGTGTTCCAGGCAGTTGTTGATTCATTTGTTGTCGAAAATAAGGTTAAATGTAAACTAGCTGAAGAAAGGAGACGATCAGGGATGACCTATGCCGATGTCATGGCAAGCGTATGGGTACCGCAAAATGCTAATTAGCGGGAGTAGTTGGATAAGGAAAGGGCAGAGAATGAGGGGTTTGATCCTAACACTGCATTAAGGGCTCGCATCCAAGCATTGAAAGGGGAATTGGATGATTAGATTAAGATAGTGGAGAGTGGGTCTATAGTGGGTTCCATAATTACCCATTATCATAAGTGTTGGTGGGATTAGCTCAGTCTCTTGCTAATGGAAAATATGTAGCGACTTTGGATTCTAAGGAATTCCCATCTATAAGGGCCCAAACTAAATATAAGTAGGTGGTGGATAAGCTTACAGGTGAATCTTAGATTCAAACTGAAATGGGGAATTCCTACGGTGTTGGAAATAAGGTTGAGGCGAAGGAAACAGATCGGGTTGAAATGGCTTCAATGGTCGAGGTATATCGAGAAGAGGAACCTCGAGTTGAGGTAGGGGAGCCGGGTATTATGAATTTGAATTCGGAGTTATTGGAAGCTACAAAATGGCCTACAAATGAGGGTGCGTTGGACGCAACTCCATCTATTAAGGGATCATTGTTGGTTAGTGAGCAACTGAACGAAACTGTATTGGTAGATAGTTCAGCGTTGGCACTTGAGAAACAGCAAGGGGCGATAGGTTCAGCTACTATGGTAGTGAATACCTATTGTAGGAGATATTCTAAGTCTTCGAAGGAATGGGATCCTGGGAATGATAATGCTTTGGTGGTGTGGGTTGGAGGCGTCGAGAATGGGGATACGGAATGTGATGTTGTACAGGTGGAGGAAGAGGAGGGATGCTGTTATAACTCCATTTATGCTGAGGAGACGGTGGAAGCTAGTGCACTTGATGACAGACATCGACCGTCAAATTGGATCCTTCAAAAAATTCTGGATTTCAACAAGATGGTAGGTATGTTATGTGATGGGTACAAAAATAAGCTTTTACAACTATTCGAGGAATTGGAGGCTAATAGGGGAAATGGATTGGGTACATCAAGAGAAAAAACAAGAAGAAAGGGGGATCGGGAGCTTAAGCGTCTCGAATGCTCGGTAAATTATGATCTCAAGGGTGGAGAGTCAAGGAGATGTCACATAGGGAGGGATGATGAAATGTTTAGATGATTCCAAAAATAATTAGTTGGAATGTAAGGAGGCTTAATGAAGCTAGGAAAAGATTGGATGTTCAGAATCTATTAAGGGGATGGAGGGCTGACCTTGTATGTCTACAAGAAACAAAGTTGGAGGTCGTTTCGAAGGCAATCTGTGTGCATCCTTTGGGGGGACAGCATATGGGGTATCAATTTACAGGATCATCGGGGGATTCAGTAGTGCTAGTTATGTGGGACACTAAAGTTTTTGGTATGGAGGAGGTTTCTAAAAGGTTATTCTCTCTATCACTTTCGTTTAGAAATATTGGGGATAGTTTTCATTGGATATTTATAGGAGTTTATGGGCATAATGTAGATGAAAGTAGAGGTGGATTGTGGGATGAATTGGCTGAGATGATGAATTGGTGAAACCTCCCAACGTGTATTGGATGAGATTTTAATGTGGTCCAATTTCCCATTGAGAGGTCCAGTGGGGGGAGATTAACATGGGCTATGGAGGATTTTTCAAGCTTTATCAGGGAAAACATGTTGGTGGACTTGCCGTTGATTGGGGGAGAATTTACTTGGTCATCCAATCGAGACTCCAAATAGATCTATTTTTGATTTGTGGAGAGTGAGAGGCTAAATACCCAGAGGTCACGTAGAGGAGATTGGGGAGGTTGTATTCAAATCATTTTCCCATTTCGTTATCTGGGAATGCAAGGCACAGTGGAAGAAGGTCTTTTAGGTTTGAGAGGATGTGGCTAAAAGTAGAAGGTTTCAAAAAACGAGTACGGAATTGGTGGGCATCCTATGATGTCAGGGGGTCTCCTAGTTATGTGTTAAATTGGAAATTGAAGGCTTTGAAAAAGAATCTTAAGAGGTGGAATGAGGAGGTGGTGGGAGATGTTACCTATCGCAAAAATCAATGCCTATCAGATATAGAAGAGTTGGATTAGAAGGGTGGAGGACCGGTAGGGGACGATAGGGCCAGACGTGGAGAATTAAGAGAAGAATTGGAGAGATTGGTGGCGATGGAGGAGATTGTATGGCGTCAGAAATCTAACGTCAAGTGGTTGAAAGAAAGGGACAGATGCACCCAATTTTTCCATAAGGTAGCTAATTTACAACATGCGTAATAATTTTATCACTATATTAGAGGTTGATGGGGTCAATTATGAGGATCCACATGATATCGGGACCCATATGATAAGGTTTTATCATAATCTTTATCGTGAACAGCTGGACTGGAGGCCAGAATTGGAGGGGCTAGATTTTTCTACTATTAATGAAGAGGATGCTAATTGGTTAGAGAGACCATTTGGGGATGATGAAATTAAGGAGGTGGTGTTCAACATGAATGACGATAAAGCTCCAAGACCTCATGGATTCTCTTTCTCATTCTTTAAGGCTTATTAGGAAGTGGTATGATCAAACATTGTGTAGGTTCTTACCTATTTATTTCAGTGTGGAAGATTCCTAAGAAATATCAATGCTACATTTATTGTGTTAATTCCTAAGAAATCGGGAGCCACAGATATTAAGGACTTTCGTTCTATTAGCTTGGTGAGTGGGGTATACAAGATAATCGCGAAGATTTTGGTGAATAGATTTAAGGAGGTGTTGGGGAAAGTGGTGTCTAAATTTCAGAATGCCTTCGTCAAAGGGCGCCAGATTTTGGATTCAAATCGGGAGCCACAGATATTAAGGACTTTCGTTCTATTAGCTTTGTGAGTTTGTTATACAAGATTATCGCGAAGATTTAGGCGAATAGATTGAATCAGGTGCTGGGAAAAGTGGTATCTAAATTTCAGAATGCCTTCGTCAAAGGGCACCAGATTTTGGATTCCGTACTTATTGCAAATAAATGCATTGATTCAAGATTGCGACTAGGGGTTCCAGAAATATTATGTAAGCTCGACATTCAGAAAGCTTATGATTACGTTAACTGGGGATTTGTTTTGTATATGGATAGGAATCTAATTTGTGCGGGAGAGTTAGATTGTACAGGTTTCACAGGTGCACTTGGTGATGGAGTGTTAAAATTGTTCAAGGGAGCACTTGCAGCTTTTAAGGCTACTAGGAAAATGACATTTACATCACGCATGTTGAAGTGAGGGATGGTTTAAATTCCACTATCACTGATACTTATGACACACGAAAGTGGCACAATAAGTTAGCTCACATTAGTGTTAAGGGACTTCAATTTTTTAATGACAAAGGTGTCTTTGGTAAGGATCAGGTGTCGACATGTTATTTTGCAATCGTTGTATGCTTGATAAATATTGTATAATTTCATTTGCATCTAACACACATAAGACGTCTAGAGTGTTAGAATGCATCCATGCTAATTTGTGGGTCCAGAGAGCAATCCCACTTTTGGTGATAACAAATATTTTCTGTCTATTATTGATAATTTCTCAAGACGTGTGTGGGTTTATTTGTTGAAAGATAAATTTGAAACTTTCGTGAATTTTAAAAATTAGAAAGTTAAGGTGGAGAACCATACAGGTAAGAAAGTGAAATATTTCCCACTAATAATGGTCTCGAGTTTTGCATTGCTGAATTTGATAATTTGTGTAATGAATCCGACAATACTAGACATAGGACTATGCCTTACACTCCCCTGTAAAATGGGGTTGTTGAAAGGATGAATCGTACTTTTTTTAATTAAAATTAGATGTACAGTGTTGAGTTCTATTGTGCCCAAGTCTTTTTGGGGTGAAGTGTTATGACTGCGTGTTATCTGACTAATATGACTCCTTTCGTTACTTTAAATTGTAATACTCCGTACAAGATTTGGTACGATAAATGTGCTAATTATTCCATACTTAGGACATTTGGTTGTGCTACTTTCTCTCATCAAATTGAGGGAAAATTAATTTAGAACCTAGAGTTAAGAAGTGTGTCTTCAAAAGCTATCCTGAGGGAGTTAAAGGATATATGTTATGGGATAGAAGCCAAAATGGTGTGAGATAATTATAAGTTGCAATGTCACATTGAATGAGTTTGAGATGCCTTGCAAAGAAATTGAAGAACGGCAAGAAACTTTTAGGGAAGAATCCTTTGTTGAGGTGGAGTTTGTGAGTATCCACATCCCACTACCTCGAGCGAGGTGAACAATAATACACAAAATCAACAGAACATGGAGTTAGAAGTTGATGAGGAAGATGTTGATGACAACCCTATCGACCAAAACCCTCTAACTAATTATCAATTAGCTAGAGATACAGAGAGGAAACCACATGAGGAACCCCAAAGGATGTCGGACTATACCATGGCCTATACTAATTATCAAGAACTAGTTGATTACAAGCCAAATACCTATGAGAAGGCTATGAGGAGTGAAAAAAAGTAAGAGTAGCTAGGTGTCATGAGAGAAGAGATGAGTTCTCTTACCAAGAATCAAACTTGGGATTTAGTTCCTAGAACTAAGGATAAATCAATAGTTGGATGCAAATGGGCTTATAAAATTAAGGAGGGAACTAGTGAGAGTGAACCCGTAACACACGGTTAGGTTAGTAACCAAGGGGTACGTGCAGAATGAAAGGGTATATTATAATAAGATCTCTTCGCCAATTGTTAAGTACCACTATTAAGTTCATGCTGGCTTTTGTTGCTTACTGTGACGAGGAAATTGAACAACTTGATATCAAAATTGCTTTTTTGCTTGGTGATCTTGATGAAAAAAATTTACAAATCAGCCCAAAGGTTTTAAAAGTAAGTCTAAACCTAACTATGTGTGGTTTTTAAAGAAATCTCGTTATGAACTAAAACAATCTCCGCTTTAGTGGTATAAAAGGTTTGATTCTTGTGCGTTGTCTAATGGTTTCAAGAGGATTGAGTTTGACCATTGCTTGTATTACTTGCACCACAGTACTAATAAAGAGTGTATGCATTTGTTACTTTCCATGGACGACAAGTTGTTAATTGGACATGAAGGTGGTAAACAAGATTAAAAGGAGTTAGGAAAGAATTTAACATTAAAGACCTAGGACATGCTAGGAAGATTCTTGGTAAGGATATTATCCGGGATAGGTCTAATTCTTGCTTGTACGAGCATTGTTATTAATTGATTTGGAACTTGCGCGGTGTTGTTTGATCAATTGAACGTTTTATTCTCTTCACAGGAATCCAATTGCAACGAAAAAGTTAAATGCCAATCCATGTACACATTTAAGCATAGAATGGATGCATATCTTTATGAAATAACATCGCATAATTTTACATTTGTATGTACATCAAGAAAAAATATTGACCACTCACCTTGGAAATTGGAGGGGTGGGCAAAGGAATAGCAGGAGGGATTCTAGCTTCCTCGGCCTTGAATGGAGAGGCCATTTTTGTCGCCGCTGAAACAGTGCGGATCGGATTTACACAATTTTTGTTGATTCTGTCGATAGAATCTGTGCTACGGTTGAGGGAAAATGAGGAACGGGAATGAAAATTGGAACGGAAGGAAGAGCAACAGAGATACGAAATTGAAGAATGGTTATTGAGAAATCTGGTGACGGAGTGGAGTGATGAAGACGAGAGCATTCCAATGGTGGCAACCGTCATTTTCAGGGAGCTGGGTTTTGTTTAGGAGCAGTAGATTGACTACAAATTTGTCAAAGAGAACATTCCACTGTTGGTCCTCGTATCCATTCCAAATAACAAATTGGTTAGTGCTCAAGTTATTATTCCCCCGTTTGACACCCATTCTTTTCCCATTCTCTTTCTCATTTTTTTCTCTTTCTTCATTTCAACCACACATTCTATCAATAAAATAATATTACACATAAACCCAAAAAATTTTCTTATTTTTCAACCACACATTCTTCCCATCAATCACTATTCCAAAATTTATTCTTCACCAAAATGGGTGTCAAACACACCCTATAAGTTATTAAGGCCCGTTCGGGAGGGATTAAAAGCCAATTAAAATTAAAAATATGATCGTTATTGGGTCTCACTCGTCTAATAAAAGTCAACAATAACGACTATATTTTCAATTTTAATCCGATTTTAATCTCCCCCATACAAAGCCTAACATTGTTGTAGAATCAGTCAAGGAATGTCAATTCCACTGACCAGCTCAAGTGGCATGCGGCTCTACTTGGGAAAAGCTCAAGCCGGCTCAGCTCGCAACTCATTGGGATCGAGCCAAGGCTTGAGTCAAATCTCATTTTCGAGTGCTGGCTCGAGCCCAAGCCAGGCCCGTGTCGTCACACCAAACACGGGCCAATTTTGGCATTTGTCTTTGAAATAAGGTAGCTACGACGACCTTTTTAAAGGCAGTTGTACCGTTGCCTTTATTAAAATAAAATAAAAATAGAATTTCAGGAAAAAAAGGGTTGAATTGGTCGAGCCCCATTTTTTCGGTCAAGCTTTGGCTAAGCTCAACTCGAGCCAAAAAAAATAAAAAAGGTCAATCCGTTTTTATTTGAACCGCGAACTTCAGTTCGAATTGTTTACATCCCTAAATCAGTCCCCAACAATAACAATAGAAAATCCAAATTTTTGTTGGGTTGTCATGTTATTGTCGAGGAAATGTCTCATTTTAGGTTTTTGCACATTAGTAATTTTTGAAAACAATATTTGTTATTTAGTTTCATAAAATTGAACACGTGAAGATTACCCAATGACTTAAGAGAAAATTGAATAGTTTCTATTATTGAAGATCGATTTGTAACTATAATGGTGTTGAAAACAATATTAAAAGAGTAGAGGCCAACTTGTTAATTGATTATTAGATTAATGCAAAATTCAAATTTTTTATAATAATTTCATTAAATTGATGACAGCAAAATTTACACTCAATTAAATCATGTCGAGTCATTTGATCCGTTGTGATATCGAAGTCATGATCATAAATTCTAGCCATAAGAGTGTCATTTTAAGGAAGAGAATGTTAAGAATATATAGTGCATAAAAAAACGAAGTATCAATAATGACTATTATGTTTCCATCTAATTTACAAACGCACGAATTTGTTTTTCTTTTACTTTCTTTTTCATTTTGCTAGTTTTCCTTTCTTGATTTTCTCGACGTTTAGCTTCTTTTAATTCTTTCATATAAGATTAATGATGCAGAATATTACTCCTTGATGCTAATATATTGCAATATACTATCTAGGGAATTTTGAATATCTAATTGTTTATCTATAATCCACATTGATAAGGTATTTGATTTTCATTTTAAATTTTGAATTCTACCCTCCATAATAGGAAGAACGAGCATAAGAAAGTAAGAAACATGGGGAATGAGCGCTTGTTTTTAGAAGTGTAAAGGCCTCCCACAACCAGGTTTTAAGGTGTAGATACTAGGCCAACGTTCCCATATATTTTTTCGTCTAAACAAGTTTTTTCCTTTTTCTTAAATATAAGTCCACATGGGTCATACTTATCGACACTTTTTGACTAGTCTATGAAAAGAGAAACTTCAATGAATAATAGTGCTCTAGTGAATCCTACTTTTGAGGGAAAAAAAGATGGACTTCAATGGAAGGAAAATTTACATTGCCAATCATTCATTGCAAAACATATATAAAACTTCAACAAGTTGTAGCTTGAAAGAATGAACAAAAATGACATTTTAATATCTCCATATTCAACTTCAGTGTTTACTGAGCTTCAAACTGTGTGCAAGTGGACTCCATATGTGTTATGAAAAGCATTGAGGAAGAAAAGAAAACATCCCGACAATCCACAAGGTTGTTTAGAGAAGTTGCAAAGCCGAGACTCCTCGTGTATCAGATGCATCACTTACGTACAGGCTACTATATATCGGTGTCTATTAGGCATCATCACCCCCATCTGCAACTTGCAGAACGTCTCCATCTGGTGTTTGATCCAATCACAAGTATTGTTTATGTATCCGGGCTCTATTCTCTTCCCACCATAGTCTAGCATGCATCTCCCCAAATTTCTCTCGGCTGCATTTTCAATTTAAAATCAAGTAAGAATAGTGTAATTGATCGAGTCCTGAACCCGATTTATGAAAGCAACTCTCAATGTGAGAGCTACGTCCATTAGCTGTTCAAAGTTTTCAATATCAAGTGTGTCTCTTAGAACACAAACACTAACAATCATTTATATATTGCAGAAATATTAGAGCGACATGATACAAATATGAATACTTAATAAGAGTGTAGTGTGATTAGTTTCGGCATAGTTCAACTTAAACTAACCTGAATCTAACGCGTCTGAGTTCTCTTTTACCATCTGGCAATGCCCTGATGGTAATGTATACCCCGGGCTCATCCTGTTCAACCCATTCAGTTTCAAGATCACTGGCATTGCTTATCGATATCTCTCCAGAGCGATCAGCATCCTTAGAGGAACTAGTCCTCATGGAGGCATCCATTGAGGATGTTTCTGTTTTAGCTCCACTAATGCTCGAGAGTTTTGGAGTTGAGGCAACGCCAAAAGAATCACAGTTATATCGAGAATGCATTGACTGCTGATCGAGTGAATCTGAAGATGAGAACGTCATTCCAGTTGGTCGGTGTAAAGTACGCGGGAGTCTTTCTCTGCCCAGTGGTGGTGTTACTGGACTGGCTTCAGCAGATTCAATCTTCGAACTGCTATCATCTTCAGATCTTGGAGTTGTTGGGAGAGCAAAAGCTTGGCGGTTTAGTCTTTGGACATTGTAAAGTTCCGACACTTTCTCACAATTCTCGGCCCACCAACTTTGAGCTTGCCATTTGTTGAATATTTCTCGGCTGACCAAAACAGATCACATCAATCAGAAAACTAAAGTATTTTCAATCTTTCTATAAAATGATTGAAGAAAAGTGCAAACGAAGTAATCATAAGAAACTAAGCAAAAGAGATGCAAAATTCAAAGTTTTTGATATCTAAATTGCTAGTTTCTCAAACAACATCTATGAATTTAAATAAAAAAGAAACTTTGAAGCATATCTTAGAAAGAAACACGACTTTTCAAGCTCACCACTATTCATTAACCAATTCTAACGGATTCTAATTTTTAAAAAAAAAAAAGTAATCCAGGAATAGTTCAAATATTTGAAGTCGGTCCACATCTCGAACTTTTTATATAGAGTTTCCAACGTCCAAAACAAATTTAGACATTTAAGCTCAATCGTATACAATTGAAGGCTTAAACAATACATTTAGCTTTCGTTTTAGCCACAGGAAAGATTAAAGAGTACCTGCAGGTCTTAAATTCTTGAGGCAACGAGTTTGGTAGCCTTATATTAGAAATAAAAAAAATAAAAAATAAAAAAAGTTTGGTGGTCTAAGAATAAATCCATTTCCCCCAAGTAATCAAACTACCATGTTAAATTATCATTTATTCGACAACCACCAATTAAAGTGGCCCTACACAATATTTCTTTACATATTCTGCATACTCAAAATCGAAGATTGGCCTTCTTTACATGCAAAAATTTGGATTACATTTGACTTTTCTTAGACGGCAAGAGAATCTTCCCACAAAATAATGAGTTATGACAAGCTAGCAAGCAACCAAGAAAACTATTAAGAACTTTTCATATGAATACATACTGACTCACAGTCCATTCAAAGTAATGTCATGATACCAAGGATATTAAACCTTAAACTATACTAATTAGTGGCAATGATGTAGAAATGCAATTGTTGTGAACATAAAGCAGGAACAAAAAGATAATCCCATTGCATTCTTATATTATGTGCTGCTTTTCTTTCTTAGCGGTAGATGGAAAGTTAAAAGTTAAGCTTCTAGAAATGACAAAAACTCGTATATTTAAACACGTATTAGCATGCACAAATCGATATGGCATGTTACTATTTATATAAAAATGGCTAAGATATCATAAAATTACCATTCATTTTAGACAAACCGCCATCATAAACCTTAGAAACCCATCCGGCCATTTCTATCAAGTCATTCTTCATTTTTAGAGCAAGAAATCCAACTAGGGATGAAATGGAAAGTGAAAATTATAGCTAGGCTTCCAAACGTTTCAATTAGAGTATGTTTGATTGACTTTATTTTTCATGGAAAATGTCATTTTTCCACCGAAATTCCTACTTTTGGATGTTTGATTGACATTTTTTCCATGAAAAATATTTTCCAAAAGATGGTCGCGTGATTATATTTTCCTCAAAAACAAGAAAAATGTTTTCTTTGAGGAGGAGTAGGTTTTTATTTTTCAAGCAATTCCCTCTTTCTCATCTACCCAATAATAAAAAATGAACAAGTAAAATATTTTCTAAATAGAAAATTAAATCAATCAAACACATTTAATTAATAGTTTTCATGCAAATAAATTCTATGTAATTCAATTGTCTAAGACTTATTTTCTTTTCATACAAATTTCATGTTTGCAATCAAACATACTCTTAGTGTGATTTTCGATCTCAACCTATATATATTTGTGAATTTGATCCCTACATGATACAAACATTCAATGTGAACATTAAAATCACACGCAACTTTCACATGACTTAAAATTGGATAACAAAACTATCAAAACACATAACATCCAACTTTATGTCACATGAAAGTCGTGTGCAATTTTATCGTACACATTCACAATTTTTATAAAGTAGGAATCCAAATTCATATATTTAATAGGTTGAAAACAACTAAGCATCCAAAACCACACGTAGTCGAAAGTTGAGGAGCCTAGCTCAAAATTTTCCAAATAGAAAACAGTGAAATGAAAGCTCCATAGCTCTGTTTCCTGTTTAGAAGCCGAACCCGGATGTGCCGGATGCATATTTTGTCACTACTCAAGTTTCGGAGTGATAAAGGATGCTGCATTTGTTTTAAGTCTATACAAACAAATAGACAAGAAACAGTTCACAAATGGACAAATCAAAGAAGAACTAGCTAGTAATAAAGATTGAAAATGAAAGGACTAGGAATCCCCGACAAGATAATAACTATCAGTAAAGGCTGCCCAACACAATCAACACAGACCCACTGAAGACTTTCTAGGAGTTTTGCTTTTTGGACTTTCGAAAAGGAACCAGTCCTATTTTTCTCCTCATGCCCTTTTTCATCATGTTGGCTATAATTACTGACAAAAAATTTCTTGATTTGTCCAATTTGAACAAATTTAATAATTTATTACTCCCAACTAAATTAAAACTGGAAAATTAACTCTTCTTAAAAAACACTTTCTTCATGTCATGATTGCAAAGTTTCCTTTTCGCATGGATTGTGCAAACATTAATCAATTCAATCGTTGTACAACCATTAAGAGTGTCCCAAATACATAGATATCAATTATTGTACTTGTAGCAAGCAAAAGGGGATTGAGAGAAGAACATCTTCAATTTGCGCTAATTGTGGACCACATGCACAAGGGAGATGATGTAGAGAAAGTGTAAAGATAAATTATAAAATTTATTATAAAAAAATTAAGGATCTCTAGCATGGCTCTTGTCAGGTAAGCATTTTGGGATGATGTGGCACAATTTTTGGTGTAATCCACATTCATTTAAAGACGCTCTAACAAGTAACAACATTGCCCTCTAACCTCACCCCACCTCGCAACACACATCCACAAAGACGAGAAATTATCAAAATTTCTTATTTTTGTTGAATACCATATTCAAGTTTCATAAATTGTCATGAAAAGACGCATAACTTGATGTTAATCATGAAAAAAATTAGAAATTGCAATCTTTAAGTTTCTCTTGAAAATTATTGTAGACAATAGCTTTTAAGAACATGTTTTGTGTATAGTACTAAGAAAGTTAAAATATTTTACCTAGTAAGTGAAGGATGCAAATTTAAAAAACAATAATGGAAGCAATAATGAAAAAATGTGTGGATAGCATATTTTCACAATAACATATAATTTAAGCATGCAAACTTGGGGTAGGGTCGTTAAACCTTCGTAGGGCCATACACCAAATTTTGTCAATGGTGGACCCACATAATTAATTATGTCAAACTATAATCTCCACTCACAATTTTTATTACTGTTAAATCTTAAGAAGAAAATAAAAACAAACAATATTTTTGCAATTGATATAATTATTTTACTTAAATGAGTTTAATGCTAGAATTAACCATCAATGAAGAAGATGATGTGCAAAATTACCGAACAGTTACCTGAATCGAATGCGCTTAAGATCATTTCCGCCACGTGGCAAGGACACAAAGGTAATTAACACACCGGGTTCCACCTGAGCTACCCACTCTTTCGGCTCGTTCTCTTCAACGAACACAATCGGGTCAACTCGCCGGCCACTTGCCGACGCCGGTGTACCCTCGCCGCTAGAAATTCCCTTCAGCCTTGCCTCCAGCTCCTTCCTCCCGGCAGTGGAGCTCGAGTTTGAGCTCCCCGTCCGCCGGTAGGACCATCGGAATCTATCCGACGCCGCCGAGTCCGACTCGCCCCCTATGCTCCGGTTCTTCAGTTGCTGCGCCTGAGTTGGCTGACTCGTGCATGACGGTGTGCAGTGGCGGTATGCACCCGAAGCCTTCAATGCCATATCCTTGATCTATTCAATACAACACATTCAAAATTCATCTCCAGAATGCCAAAAAAAAAAAAAATCTATCAAACCCTCGATTGAAATCTACAGAAATCATTACCTGAGACGTTAAGGTTTTGATGGCTTGTTTATTAGGAGTGCCATCAACAGATTCATCGCTGGGTTGTTTCGAACGCGCTATGCATGTAAGCATTTTCACACTTCTCAGTCCACACCAAAATCACTATATATCAATCTATACAAAATCGATTATAAATTATAAACCCACCTCTGAAAAACCCCTACAACACAGCAAAACCCAACATAAAAACGAAATCAGTGAGTATAAACATATTCAATATAGAATTGAGAACAGCAAATTGAGATAAAATTGAATAGGGTTTTAAGTGGAGAAATAAACAAATTAAATGGGACCTGATGAGAGTTAGGATAGGAGGAAATGGAGATAATGAAAGCACTGAATTAATTAATGGCAATGCCATCCCTTAAATTGCGCCATCACAGAGATTCCTGTTCATATTAATTAAACAGTACCAGAAATGAGTCGACGAGTTGTATGTTTTTATTCAAAACAAATGAAAAATAATGGTCCGCGCCAAATGCCTGGCCCGTGATTCTTCATGGGCTTGGGCGTGACAAGATGGGACAGGCCCGTCTCCTGTCTTCAATGGATTTTCAAGAGATGAGACAGGTTAGTGTTAAAATAAGGAAAAATTCATAAATAAAGTGTTTAATTTACATCAATTCAAAAATCATGTTTATAATTTGAAAATTCAAAAATCAGGATATTTTTTTTATTTTAATATAATATAATATAATAAACTCACCTCATATGCATCACATCTACCGTTCCGAGGACTATTCCGGCGATCATTCCGACCACCACTCTTCTCCGGGGACTGCGACCATTCCGACGACTATTCCGACAATCATTCCGATCACATATTTATAATTTAATTAGTCACATATTATTTTTCAGTCACAAATTTTATAGGTCACATTTAATTTGTTGGTCACAAATCAAAATTTATAGGTCACACGGTCACAGATTTCCAAAATAATTAGTCACAGATTTTTTAAGGTCACAGATTATATAATTTTTAAGTCACAGATAAAAAAATAGTTAATTTCATTGGTTACATATTTTCAAATTTGTTGGTCACAAATTATTTTTCAGTCACACATTATCAAATTTTTAGGTCACATTTAAATACTTGGTCACAGATAACCAAATATTTGGTCACATACCACTAGCACTATTTCAGCCATCATCACCACACAAAACACCGCCACCACCCACAGTCAGCAAACAAAGCACCGCCACCACCCCAACATAACTGTCTCCACCAACGACACAGCCACTGGCAGAAATCATCATGACCACCACCAGATCCGCCATAGTCACCAATACAACTACCTGCACAACCAATAAAAATCACCTAAAACCCCCTGACAACAAAAAAAAAAAAAAACCACCACAACAATTTTTTATGACATAATTTCCATTTTTCATGATGAATAAAGAAAATTGTAGTGTTCTAATACCACTTCGTCTCCAAGCAACCTAAATCGTCTTCCCCAAAAGCTGCACCAAATTCCTCAAGCCCCGCTTCCTCTCCTCCTACCAACCCATCCACCCCAGCAGAGTCCCCTAAGGATGAGCCCTCATCTCTAGCCGTCCCCAGCAGGGAAGCCTATTTTCCTACTACTCAACACCCAAACATCCACAGCAGCATCAAGGCGCTGCTGCGATTAATAGCAGCGCCTAACGCTGTGAACGGCAGCGTCGCGATGCTGCTGCCGTTCACAAAAGCGTCGCGACGCCGGGAGGGAGGGAGGGGGAAGGGGAATGAGAAGGGAGGGAGGGAGGCGGCGGACGGTGGTAAAGGTGAGAGATTGGAGATAAATGAATTATTTAGGGTTTGGATTAGATTTAGGAAATTTGGGGAGGGTTTGGATATATAATATTTAATACTTGATTTAATTATTAATTCAATACCTGATTTTTGATTAAATAAAATTCACACCTAAATTTTGAATTTGAAAAATTAAATTTTTTTTTTTTTTTGAAATAAGATTTAAATTTTAAAAATATAAAATAAAATTCTAAACGAGTTCAGTGCAAGAACCATGTTCCCTCTTCTCTATCCCAAATTCCTTGGCGAAGCTGGACAATATGTAATGGGACGAGGGTGAGGTGTTTTGCCTTTCCGAAATACTTGGTATACGTTAATTTGGAAAATCCAGAAAGCTAGTACTAGTGAAGAAAAAAAAAATGATTTTTGATCATTTGCGTAAATAGTTAGGCATGAAACTTGTATGCATAAACTTCAGTCATCTCAATCTTATCTAAAAAAATTGACCTAGTAGAGTTAAAATTACTAGAGTGGTTTTGACTGAAGTCGAAGTAAAAAAGAAATTGACTTGGTCAAATTGAGGTTGAGTTTTATAGCGGGATTTAACTGCGTAAAATATAATTTGATTTAACAAGGTTTGATCAAAGGAAATTACTAACTAGTGTGTCTTTATGTTAATTTATAACTTTGATGGCTACTCGATACCTTGTAGCACGCCATTTGTGGTAGTTTCCTGTTGATAAACTTTAATCCTTGTTTTAAAGGAAAGTGGTTGATTTAGCAAAAGAAATTTAACATAATTGTGTTTGGGAACTTACACTTGAGGGTTTTCATTACACGTGTTTGGAGCGGCTTGACTGACTTACTGTAAATAATAACTATCTAGATCGTAATTTTGAATCTAGCTTTTACGATCTAGATACATATTAATCCATGATTTAGTGATTGTAGGGGCATGAATCAAACACATCGAGAGGAATGCCATCAACTAAATGTCCATAGGGAGCAAAAGTCATCCATGCAATCAAGAGCTTGACACAAGCATGCCTATTATCTCCGTAAGGAGTTAGTGGCCAAAATGTCGAACAAATCCCCAATGATCAAGGAAATTTATAGAACGAGAGAAGTACCGAATATCGTGGACAAGGATTAAGTCTCATAAAAAGGATGAACAAGGCAATAAATTGTCAAACTTTAAAAGTATCATATAATGGCTCATTATAAATTTTATCAAATTTTAAAAAGTGTGACATTTGGGGTGTAATTAATTTATTTAGATAATCTTCAATAAAAAAAAAATGGACATTTCCATTCAAATTTCAATTTCTATAATTTACATAAACTAGTTTGCTCAAAAATTTACATGATTAACACGCCAAATTAAAACTCCTACATGAAGATGTTGTTCTACTTTCTTGTTCACCAAAGACTTGTGTGGATACTTATGATATGCCTTGATATTATAATTGCCAAAATAGATATTCGATATGATTGTACATAAAACATGATAAGTTGGTCTAGATTTGATTTTATTCAGATTGAATCGAACTTGAACATCCCTTTTGAGATTTCGAGGTAATTTGATATGTTAACTTATGATTTTGAGATGGATGATGATATTGGTCCAAAATCATGTTTAAATTCTCTCATCCAAAATCATGTTTAAATTCTCTCTCTGAAATTGTTCTTGTTGGATTATAGGTCATGTATCATCTATATTGATAGGCTTGAACCACAACTTAGGAGTAATTGAGCTGGATGGAAAATTTGAACTAGAATTCAAACTATAAACTTCCCTTGTATAACCTCCAAGTCATTGTCACGAGAAGGATAGGTGAACAAAAATTCGTGCAGGAAGATGCATCAAAATAGAAAAGGGCAAAAATGTATCATTTCGAGTAGAAATCCCACAAAACTTGATACTTGAGTTGTATCAAAGAAATTGCACCCCTTTTGAATTCCACTGGAGTGAACAAGATTGGAGTGAAAGAAAAGCAAGTATATTGAACATGAAGATTATGGAGATTGTTTTGAAAGTAAGTGTAGGAGATATTACACTTATAATGTGCATATTATATTCATCAAAAGATGCATCAAAATAGAAAAGGGCAAAAATGTATCATTTCGAGTAGAAATCCCACAAAACTTGATACTTGAGTTGTATCAAAGAAATTGCACCCCTTTTGAATTCCACTGGAGTGAACAAGATTGGAGTGAAAGGAAAGCAAGTATATTGAACGTGAAGATTATAGAGATTGTTTTGAAAGTAAGTATTTCCGAATAGAATGTAATTTCAAGTGTGTTACATAATCTTATAGTTCTCTTTGCTAGATAAATAATAAAATCATCAAAATCAGTGTATAAAATTAAAAATCTCACCAAAATTTCTACTGGATACCTATATCTTTTCGAATGTAAAATTAAGGGAAAAGTACATAGATCAAGTGTTTAAACTTCAATGTGCAAATATCAGGTGTGAAGGTTTTTTAATCAAAATTCAGGTGATTAAATATTATATCACCCAAACCCTAATTTTATTTCATTTCTCCCCCTTCATTTCTCTTCCTCTTCTCCCTCTTCATTTCTCTCAGTTCTATACCCATCCAACTCTAATATTAATTCCCAAACCACCTCTCCATTCTCTCATCGTCACCGCCGTCTCTCTATTTTTTATGGTGCTGTTCCATGAAAACCATCGACTATGTGAGGCGAGATGGCCAGTTCGTGAACGCGACCCTGTGTTGCTTAATCGTCGGGATGATCAGATCTGAGTTGCTGCTGCTAGTGCTGTCGTTCACGGTAGTGGCACATGGTCTCAAGACGTAGTGTTGGGCCTGTTGGCTGTTGTTCTAGGCTGGCTGTTGTGTTCGGTGTTGGCTGATGGATGTTGTGTTTGGTGTTGATGGAAGTGAAACTGTGGTGGTGGTAGGGTTGTGGTGTGGTGGTGGCAGATCTGACAGCGTATGTTGGATCAGATGGTGATGGAGGCGATGGTTGGCTTGGGCACGGTGTTGTGTGCGGTCAAAGTGTTGAATTTTGATCGAAGGTGGAAGTGGGGTGTTGGTTAATTTGTGACCAACCATTTTGTCATCTATGACTTAAAAATTATATAATCTTTGATCATAAAAGAATCTCTGACCAACTAATTTGGAAATCTGTGACTGTCTGACCTATAAATTTTGAAATCTATGACCGACGAATTAATTGTGACCTACAATTTTTTTTATATGTGATCATTAAAAAATCTGTGACCAACTAATTTGGAAATTTGTAACCTGCAAATAAACTGTGACCGAAAATTAATTTTTAACTAATTAATGAAATATTTAATTAATTAATAAATACTTGATTTTTACAAGTTTGAAACTTAACACCTGATTTTTGCAATTATCGAAATTAATATATGATTTGTGAACTATTCCCTAAAATTTAATTACATTTGAAGTGTGAATATTAGATTGTGGAAAAATTGGACCTTTGTTTGTATTGGACTCTTAGATAAAGGAGCCCACTTACAAATTTCCCACCTAGAAAGTGGACTATGTGTCTCTCTGTAAAGGCCCATATGCCTCTCCTAATAGAATGTTCAATTTACAGAAATACCCTTAGAATTAGGAGTCTTTTAAAAAAATATATGAAAAGTATTTTGAAAATAAAAAATATTGTGTAAAGTTAAGTGAGACTTTTTAATCAAAATTAAAAAGTAACGTATTTCAATTTTTCATTAAAAAGTGACATATAATGTCATTTTCTCTATCATGAAAAATTGATCACATTTAACACAATACAAAATAAATTAACATCTAAAAGAAAATCTTATGAGCAAATTAAAAGTCTAGTCAAAGATGTATTATTTTATTAGAAATTGATTGTGCATTACATTTTAATTAAAAAGCTGTACAATATGCTATATCACTTTTCAATGAAAACGTTACAAACCATGTAATGTGACTTTTCTTAATAAAATCTTTGATAAGAACTTTACCCGACCATATTAAATCACAATCTTGCAAAAAGA